GAATTATTGACGAAAAACAGTGATCAATGAGAGACGAGCTTGGTTGGATCGGCCGCTTAGGCAAGCTCACTATCTTTCGTCAATAACTCGTAAACAAAAACGCGGATTGCATTTTCGCTAAAGAAAAAGTTACTCCAAATGACCTCAGGAACACGGAGAAAATTCTGTTCTTTTATGAAAAACGCTCCTTTTTTGTTTACAAATTTTCAGTGCACAAATCAATTTTTATCGAATTCTTCATGATTTTCTTACGTCTATTAGTACTGTTCCCCTATTTTCTTTCAGCTTAAAAATGGAAGATGATGATGAGCCGGTTACGATTACTGAATTGCACGAGGGAAGAATGAAGAACGCCGACATTGTTGCGGCTACCAGATATGGAAAATAAAGAACCAAAATCATTATTATATTGAAGGTACAAGATATCTTATCATTAGATTACGGATCTTTATGCTAAATAAAAATTTTCCAAGACGATTGTAGAGGACGGAAATGAAATAAATTGAATTATTTCTTTGAATCATTTTAATAAACTGAAAATAGTGTAACTGTATTGTTAAATTCTTTTTACGTGTTCGCAATTTTACATTTCAACTACACATTTTTATCATAAATGAATAAAATCCGCAGTCTATCCAGCGTTCATTCAAGTCAATCACCGTTTTTACATAACGCGATTTCTCATATAACGCGCTATGTAATAAAAATAAAATATATAAAAACGAACACATTAGAACGTAAATTTAAGCGATTTAAGCGAAAGTGTTTCGTTCATACAAAATAACATTACTTTTCCTGTTACAAGATGAACATTTTCGTGGAACACGATTTCCTATGACACAAATTCGTAGAACGCACAGCCACGAGACTCTACTTTTATGCATTAATGTGATCCTTATTTTTCGACATTCTAATTTCTCTTATTATACCTAAATTATGATATTTGATGAGAAAATGATGTTTGCAACATTTAGAGAATTTCAAGATTTAGTCAGAATTTTTGTAACTGATGCAATACGGGGAATGAAACCGAAGCTCGGAATCTAAATTTTCCTTGAGTAAGGCAAGGGGTGGAAACTTGGCACCGGATGTTTAATTTGGTTCCAGGACATTTCTGACCTCGTTCGATCCTCTTCATCAAAGTCTGCGTTACCGAAGCGACATAGTAATCGAAACAATCTGTGGTTAGGCGAGTCGAATAAAGAATATCATTCTCTTGCGCTCAAAAAACCAATTAATCGTTTAAATTATTATTATTTATTAATTGACCGATGTGAGCCCTTGGCGCAAGAAGAATCTTAAAACAAAACGTAAGAGACCTCGCAACGATGCGAAGTACATAATGAGGTTATGTTGAAAACGTGCTAACGAGATAGAAAAATCAAATAAATCTTTGAAATTATTAAACATCGATGAAGATTTAAAGAGTTAAATTGACCATAAAGTGTTCTATGAAATGCTTCTGAGAGGATCAGCCGGTGTCTAAGAGCTACCGATGAAAGATTTAAAAGTAAGCTGGATAAAATGAAATGCGAAATAAAATAAAATAAAATGAAAACGATGGAAAATTAATTCTAGACAGAAAGGTTGGCTTGTACTCTGTATTATGGGCCGTATGATTCGAATAAAATTGTATCGGAATAGCATTTCGAATACAGTAAATTTTATTCTGATAACTTTTCAAATATATTAACCCAATGAAATTTTATTTAAGTAAATTTTCGTTCGAATAAATTTGCATGTATTGTATTGTAAATTGTATTGTCGGCACCGGTCAATACTTATGCAGCACAAGATTTTTTGGTTTACAGTTTTACTCTTCGATCAATAGTTACGTATCTGAACCTTGTAATTAAATTGCGGACTCTTATTCAAAATAAAAATTATCCTTGATAAATTTATTTGCTCGAAAATAAACAAAATAAAAGAATGAAAATATTTAAATATGTCTTATTCGATAAATATAAATTTAATTATGCGTGAAAACAAACCAGAGGCACAGCAATTGGTCAACCCACCGTAATCGGCACCGCTATCTTACATCATGGTCCAAGATTTAGTAAATCGCCGATTCAAAGTTGATATCGAACAGTCACTGTATTTATCGAGCAATCAAATCTCAAACGTGTCGCGTCTCAATTAAACGCGACAATATTGTAGATCGCAAAATTAACAGCATCGTGCTCTCTACGCTTAGTAAATCTGTCCGTGGTTTTGGGGGACGAGGCGTGGGTGGTCGAAACAACGTCTCTGTGACTTTCGTCGGGATCAAAGTGTCCGCGAATAACTGGACCGCGAGCATGGCAACAGTTCAGCAAAAAGTAAGAATACCAATAACAACAATGTACTTTGAGGAGAGAACGGACGAGAGATAACACCCTTCGCAGAAAGGGTGAAGGAAGGGAGGAGAAAATAAAAGCTGGATGTAGTTATACCTAAGCCGAGCCAAATGAAGTAAATAGTCTGAATGCCAGCGGTACTAATTAGTTATATAAAGGGCTCCTTACAAGCCGGGAGCTCGGAAGCTTATACCGTTAATTAACATACCTAGCAAGGGTGCCAGCCGCGGCGCCAGAGCCGAAGGCTTCCCCGTGAAATAAACCTCGGAACTGAAGAAACATTATCGGGGTAAGTTTGTCGTTGCTTTTCAGCGAGCGTTGAAATACGAGCGATCCCTCCACGTCGCTGTCGATGATACGCCGAATCTTCGATCGGAAAATTACCATGCAAAGTGCCGCGTAATCTTACCCTGCTACCCGCGACGACGCGCGACGTCTTGAACCTTGTCCTACCATCGACGATTACGCAATCAATTTTCTTTATTGGACACCCACACATTTCTCTACGGTTTTCAAACTTGACGCGCGTTAGATTGTGAAACCGTGTTCACCGAAACATTCTCTGTTTGATCGGAACGTCATTGAACCAATTAGTTGTTTTTGACGGATATACTAATCATGAAGAAATGACAATATTTTGTGTTATGACGAGCATACTCGTCCTGAATAAATTGCATTATTTTGTTTGGATTTGCTGTTCGTAAATTTGAAGATGTTTACAATGTTTGGAAGTCAAGACGGAAATAAAACGAACGAACAAAAAAATATAAATAATTATTATGTATGTAGTGTGAACAAAGTTACTATGCGACACATTTTAAGTACACACTTTTCAGAGTTCGCAACTGCTAGATGATTAACCGAAGTATGAACTGCTAAAGATGGACAAATTTTTCTATGAATTTCTTTTAAACGATGAAGGCAATATTCTTCAAATTCTTGGGATATTTAAATACGTTGCTGAAGCAAATAAATAGAGCTTTTTTAATAAAAAAGGAACGATAAATAATATTGATATCAGAAGTCTTATGAGTATACCTTGACTGTCATTATACATTGGTGATAAAATTATTTGCTGAGATTTGAAAATTAATTTGTATGCTAATTCATTAGTGGGATCCACGAAGCGTAAGAATGTTGAAAAAATGACAGCAAAGTATTAAGTTCAACATTGAAAATTTGGAGAAATATTTTGAAGAAAAATTTCATGAATTATTGAAACAATATTTATGATTTAAAAATCCTGTTTTACATTGGTAACATACAATTAGTACGTCACTGTTTTCAATTGATTGTTATAGGATTAACAGGACGCGATTAGGATCAACAGAATCGAAAGACCCGTATTGAGATGTAAAGATTGGAAAAATAACGAACGGTAGCATTCGGTGACATAATTAGATAACAGTTTAAACTAAAAGTTACATCATCGAACTATTAACAATTATTATTAACATTATGCCTTGGAAGCTGTCGCATAAAACTATGCATTTTTCTCGGCAGTCAAGTTGAGCTTTCCGAGTCTTATAGGATTCCTTTGAGGTGTGAAGCGCGTACTTATTATTAGGCGATCGAATTGTACAGATTTTTGTGCCGTTTATACTTTGTGATGCGCCGAATGATGGTGACGTTTTTAACACCGAGTGTCGATGAAGAACGGAGAAAGCAAGTTTGTGATCCGTCAAACTTGCTCCGAGTCTACTCGTTTTCATCCTCCTAGGCGATCTTATCAAATTGCGTGCTCGAGTCATCTTCGCGACTCAGATCCTCGCAACTGGTTCTTTGTCAACTGAGCCGCGATATATGTCATAAAGGATCCCTGAAAGTGGCTCGTTCCGTATTCGATCCGTATCCAGGCCACACTACGGGCTATTCGAGAACAACGGGAACGCAATTATGCGGGATGCCTATCGTTAGGCGCGCCGGAATATCCTCGTAAAAACGAGGAGCTGAACATCGTCGTGGGACTATTGGGGTGACGGGTTAGTCTAACATCGTTCGGTGATTAAACAGTCCCATCGATTTTATAAAGAGCGAGGAAGGCTGAAATAGGCAAGTAAGAAGTTGATAGAAGGAGCGACCTAATAAACATTGATAACATTTTTAAGGATATTTTAGGAATTAAAGAACTAAAATTCGCCAGAATTTTAGGGAACAAGAACTTCTTTTTTCTGTTTTAAATTAGGTTAATTAGGATTGAAATACATTCGCGTCGGGAAGTATGCTAATACCTTTTCAAACGGAATAACATTCAAAAATTGGTCCAAACGACTTGAATTTATTCTTGTATTTCTGTCCTTATCGACTTAAGGAACGATTTCAAATTATATTCTTCAGATTTCAAAATTCTAATAGTTCTGAAAACTGTCTCTTATTAATGAAAAAACGTCTAGCAAACTGTTTATTTAATTGTATTGTTCAGTTTTAATTTTAAAAAATATAATTGTTCTTGCTTAACACGTTGACTACCCTCTCAGCGATCGTAAAACTGAAGCAGGAACAAAGCTATTTATTTAATACAATAAAACTCAGCAATTCGGATTTGTCGGATTAATTACTAAAATGCGGCTTTTTATGCATTTGTGGCAAAAATAAGTAGATTTGTTATAAAACAGTAAATACAGGGGATTTTAAAAATGCTGCTCCAACTTCATAAAAATGTTAAGAATGAAACTGAATTTTTATTTAACTCCTGTTAACTGCAATTCAGGTCAAGAATGTTTATTTTTCATCAAGTTCCACAGTTCATTAATTACTGCGTCGGTGCTCTTGCATTTCGCAGATCACGAACAGGTTCGTAATAACAATACGTAACTTTGAAGTCTCGATAAATAAATTCATCATCGAAATTTGGGTAACGCGACGATCAATATTTCAAGGCAGATAAGCAGAAACGTCATTCGCGGGTTCTCCAGCCGACCGACAAACACGAATATTTCAGAATTCGTTAATTCGGTGTTGTTCTTTCCGCGCCGCGGTGCGTCGGCGGAATCCTACAGACCGCAGGAGAACGTCCTCTCTCCGATCTACAAATCTGCATAAAGCTGGTCGTCCGTCCCTCTCATCCGCTACGTAAGGCTGTAAATTTCGATATTCCGCGTGTTTGAGGAACGGATTTTTTCTGGTCATGCTTCATGCTTCCCGCCACTCGCAAACGAGCGATATTTATGGCAGGACTTAAGCGTCCACGCCATACGTCCGAGAGATTCCGCGTCGTTCGTCGATTTTTATTTTTCTCCGCCCTGTTTTATTTTATCGTCGCTCCGACTCTCCGCCGCTTCCCTGGAATGAACAATGCTTCGTTGTCCCGCTAATTGCGCCTCGTCGAATTCTTGGACGCAGATCCCCAATTTCCCGAGCCGCTCCGACAGAATAGAACAAACATCATTGAAATTTAGTTATTGGCCAACGACTTGTTACCAGCTGCTTGGCTATTAAATGATGCGAGCCAATCAGATCTTGAGAGATGTTACGATGAAATAAAGTCACAAACAAAATAAAAATTTCGCCGCAGCCATTGTAAATTATAATGCACAGCAATATCTGCGAGTTTTCTACCTCATTCAGGAAACGCTTGCATCCCCACCATATTACTGTGCATCCAATCCGCAGTGAACCGTGTCTTAGCAGAGTCATCAGCTGATCAAAGCAAAACAATTTCAGTCCTGATCCTCAACCGTTAAGTAAGCTTTAGCTCGAAAAGTGTGCAGGAGTTCAAGTATTACTGCTGTCTAAATACAATAGAATGATAGAATAATTCATTGAAGGTGAACGAAAATGAAAAATTCCGAAAAGGTGATAGGAAACGCGAATGACAAGATAACAGAACGTGCCCTGATATGATCTATGATCTATAATCTATATATGACCTATGATCAAAAGAACGATTGTCTCTAATTTAAAACAGTAAAAGTAATCATCGATGTACTACTTCCGATTGATTCAAATTATTAACACGTTAAGTCCCGAAAATTAATCCAAAAAATTCAATCAACCACGACATCTACATAATTTGATTGAAGGAACTGGAACTAGAAAATTAAAATTTATCATAGTAGATGATATTTTAACACTTTCACATCCTATACATTTTGGTAGAGTTCGGTTTGTTCGAATATATTACAATAAAAATGAATTTTTAACCGCAATTGACATGTTAAATAATAAACGAAGTTATTCCTGTTTTTTGCAATAGACACAGACAATTATCATTTTGTATAAAGATCCGCAGTCTAGTTGTCTATCATTGTAGTTATTAGCAATTATAGTACATGGTAATTCCTAATCGTTTAATTATTATGGCACAATATCTAAAGCTTGAGCTATACGATACTTGTCAATATAGTTTTTTAATTATCAAACTGATACAGTTGACCGTGCTCGTTTTTATTTATGGTGGTGCTACAGCATCGTAGCCTCTAGGTTATTGGAGCCGGTTACTGTGGGCTGATCAATTGCTGTGCCTTTCGTTTGTTTTCAGGCATAATTAACTTTATATTTATCGAATAAGGCATATTAAATGATTAAATTCAAAAGTAAACAAAGTAAAAAAATAAAGAAACTTAATAAGAAACCAAAGGCACAGCAATTAGTCACCCCACAATGACCGACCAACTGGTAAGTTGTCCTGTTCGAAATGAAACAAGGGATGAAATTTCTACCAGTTTTTCTATCGGCCGATTCGCCGGAAGTTACGTCCGACGGAACTAACGAGCTCTTAACTCACCAGTGCCATAAACGTTGGCCGCAGAAAGTTTGCGAGCCGACCTGTCCCTCTTCTTCTTCTTTCTCTCTCTTATCTTCCTCCTCGGGGACCGCTGGATAACAATGAGCCAGAGCAGTTGTCCGCTAGCTGCCACAAGGGTCGCGATCCTAGGACAACCTCTAAGTTAGTCTAAGGCGCGACGTTTAAGTAGGTTTTTGCGATACCTCGAGTCGCGCCGGCAATGTTGTGCAGTAAATGGCAAACGTTGGTCGACAACTTGGATGTTGCTGCCGGCTGGGAGTTGGCACAGAATCAGCCCCTGTATAGGGCCGCCATTTACTGTACCTAAGAGGCTCGCAGGGGTACAATGATCCTCCGCGAGATAACGGTGCACAATCGTTGAAGCATGAGTCGGTCGTCAGCCCGCTAGGGAGAATCGAAAAGCCTGTTGGACACGTTGCGTCCTGGAGGACACTGGCTCCCTCTTTCCTTCCCTCCACTTGAAATGGATACACTTCCCAATGGCAGCGCATCGAAATAAAATGAGCATCACGAGTGGATTTAGAATATCTGATTCCTGATGTATCAACAAATTTTTGATCTTATTAGCATTACTAGCTGGCAAAATAAAAATAAAAATTTGTGTAAAATAAAAATTCTCTGTATCAGTTGTTACAAGTAGCAGTCAAATAGAAATTTCTGCTTCCCTTTAACAATTTTAACATCGATATTATTAGGTTTTTTTAAATTCTTCCACTCATTTATATTTCGTCCACTCATTTTTGTCACAAATACACTCTAGTAATAACTGAACAAAATTAACAGTAATTTATTCAGACCCGAGCAACGTAAACTAATTTTCAGGACCTAACTCACGAGAGAACAAGCATTTCTAATAACTCTTGTTCAGTGGTAAGTAAACGCGTACAGCAAATAAAATGGCTTGTAAATAAAAATGGACAATTTGTGAAGAGGAGATACGATTATTCGAGCCTCGTGGCTCATTTCTATAGTCGTCAATCTTTAATAACTATAAAAACTAGCTACAAGGCTCGAAGAATCGTATCTACTCTTCCCGAATTGTCCGCTTTTGTTTACAAACTGAAGGACAATTGGAGAGAATTTACTATATCCCCTATTTTGATTTGTAGACTATGCACTCGAGGTTTCAGAAAAATGATTTAAATTATTAGTAAAAAAATTGCACAGATTTCAATAGCCTCTAGTTTCCGAGATATCTAAAGTATAAGCTTTCAGCCCTAACTTCGAGAACCGTGCTTACACGCGTAATGTAGACGACGGTCTATGAAAAAAGATATTGTGCGTCGACTATTTCTCTATAAACCAGCTCCCAGATGAGTTTTCTCAAAATCGACTCCTGTAACTTGAGTATGTTCCCTTGTTAAGCGAACTAACAAGCCATGATCTGATCTGATCTAACTAGCGCAATCTAACCTGCCCAGACCTAACGTATCTAACATGAGCTAGCTAATCTGTGCTTTGCCTAACTAACGTAACCGATCTAATGCACTCTGACCGAAAACTGAGCTGATTAACCTTACGTTAGATGCGTGGGAGGTGGACATGGGGCACATGGGTTACCGTATCCCTTTTCCATTTTGACAAACGTACACGGAACGAGGTACTATGCTCTTAAGCTATAAACATATACTGCAGATCTCGAGTGAGTGACATTCATGATGCAATTAGCGAGCTTAACGCAAATTTAAAATATTCCGATTGTGATCTAACATATTCTATAAGCTGAATTATCCAAACTGAAGAAGAAGAAAGTTCTTAGTTATCGTTCACTAGTTTCTCATTATTTTGACGTTTTTGTTTCGATGATTTTGCCTATGTTTTGGCAATGTGCTAATTGTCGAATATTAGATTCAACTTAGATACCGGGTGGATTAACATTCAGGGTATGATTTGCTGAGCACGTATACAATGTAGAGAATGGACTCTTGGTGGTTATGATAAAAAAACGATCGTCGTATTCTGGAACATGGAAATTTTATCACAGTAGCTATTTTCTGAAAATACATATTGCGTTACTCTTCGACCCATTTCCTACGTCAGAATAACAAATTAAAGCACCTTGCATGAAAATAATGGTTATTACTTTAGAAATAACTTTCCTATCCTTTTAACTTTTCCCTATCCCTTCGTAAAGTTCATCAGTATAAATCTGTTAATAAATCAGTTAAATAAAACTGTTTTGCAGTTACACTGACAGATTTGTTCCTCGTTCCTTCTTTTTATGTGATAAACACATCCATGAAATGATATGCAATGTAAAAATGTTATTTTAAGAAATCTTTAAATTAATTTGCTTTGAGCAAAATTCTTTCCCCAAAAAGATCATCGTTAAAAGATTTTTGTTAAGAGAGCCTGCCTAAAAATTATCGCAAAGAAAAACAATCGTTGGTAATAATCACTGATGCAAAAGATGGAATAAGGTCGTTCTTCAGACAAATTAATTTTGTATAACTGTCAAGATTATTTCATTTATTTATTATATTTATTATCAGCCAGACGCGGAGCTGATAATTAGACCACCGTATAATGTCCAAAAATAATTTCAAAATTATCTGAAATAATTATAAAATAAAATAATATATTATTTAAAATAACATTTCGAATACTGTTATTTCGAAACGAATCACAGGCATGGAAATAATTGTGGAATAAAATAAAATGTTATTTTAATTTAAATTGACGCTCGTCACTGAAACCATTTTTGGATCCAACAATACAACTGTCTTATACGCGAGGATCTTTCGATATGTCTTAACGCATGAATACAAGAAACTGAGATTGAATATCTTGAGTGCAGCCATTCCTCTGACGTTAACCGAGCAAGTTTCATCTCAATCGGCCATCGGTGCCATTCGGAAGCACGGCCCTTGGAACGAACAATGCCGCGGGTCAGAGACATGACCCGCGGAACAAGAACGGCGCCCGGTTAACTTTATAAATCGACAAACGCGCGCCGCGCTCCGTAATTCAGACACGACTGCCGACGCCGACGCCGACGCCGCCACTGTGATTTACCGTCCACGACGCTGCGATCTGCGAATTTTAACGATCGAATTTCGACGCAAGCCGAGATTAATGCGGCCGTATCGGAGCAATAAAATTTGCGCTGAGTAATAAATTTTTTTTAAATGCCTGTGAAATTACGTATCATCAAAACCAACAGGAATGATTTACCGGTATCGTTTCCCCGCTGTATCCGATGCGTCGCAATATTTGGATGCTGCTCGAAGCGTCGGTACGTAGTCGGGTGTTAGGTTACTAGGAATGGTAACATCGGTTTACGAGGTTTCTGTGATCCGTTGCGTAAACTCGCACCGATCATGACAGACATCTCGCGCGGTGTAAGTTTCTGCCCCATGAATGGGTCAGCTGTTCGACATTGGACTTGGCAGGCACTGAAAATGACTGATACGCGTTGGCTTCAGGGGACAGTGTAGTGTAAATTGCGTTTGGGTTTAACTTTCTTTCGGGATTTTTTGCGGAGAAAATATTAGGTCTACCGGAAAGTTCTGTCCGTTTTTTAATTGCAATATAACACGATTTTCATACATTTAATAATATTTATTGTAGAATATACTTTCCATCGTTACTTATGACTTCTTGCCAGCGTGATGGCAACTTGTAAATGCCATTTTTAAAAAATGATTTATTTTTAGAGGCGAAGAACTCAACTAATGCTTGGTTCACATCAGCTACAGTTTTGAATTTTTTTCCTGTAAAAAGTTTTGCAAAGAGAGAAACAAGTGATAATCGGAGGGTGTTAGGTCTGGGGAGTATGGTGGATGTGACAGAATTTCCCAGCCTAGCTCTGCGATTTTTTGACGAGTCGCCAAAGCAGCATGTGATCTGCCATTATCATCAGTAGCCATGACAGGAGACATCTTTATTTCAGTTTGTTTAGGAGAGTACATGTGTGTAAATGCAATGATAAAGAGTGATAGTCATATATGTCTCAAATCAACATGTGCATATGGATTGAGACTTGAAGTGACTCTATCGGACAGAACTTTCCGGTAGACCTAATATAACACCTTTCGCGGTTACATTTAGAAGCATTGGCTATTTTGAAACATAGTCGTATTCCAGAAAGATCGTCCCATGGTGACCATACTCGCCGCCACTTTGTTTATCTGAAATGAAAAGAACGTGTGACATTCTTAATTAGTATGAGTTTGACTTATAGCAGAAACTATAACAAAAGAAAAAAGTCTATAATTAAAAAGAATGACGATGTTTTGAAATTTGATTATCGATCTTTCCTATTGATAAATTTATTAACCTAATAAAATATAAAAAATAAATATTTTCGGTTGATTCTACTACGGACTGTAGATATAAGTATGCCGAGTGTGCACTCAATTTTTGAAGGCAATTTGTTAGATAGATTTTAAGATACCTTGATTACCGTTTTGAAAAACATGCTTTCGGGGGAGACTATATTCGGTGTGTAAACTGTACATAACGACTAAACTGCGTTATGTAATAAAACGTGCCTACGTCAATTCCAAAAAATAAAAACAGTCATGGGATAACAATTATATCACTGACTAAAGTTCTGTTGGTTACAGATAAGGATTATAAGTGATCGAAATTTTTTCTCCCGTTGGTAAATGTTATCGTTGAAATAAATTTCTCTCATGGATAACTGTTACGAGTAATCGAAATGAATTTTTCTCAACGATAATATTTCCTAACAAAAGAAAATCGATATTTTTTGATCAATTTGATCATCGAATTTTTGTCTTCGTATTTTGTGTTAATTATCTTAAATTTCACTAATAATCAACATTTCATAATGATTTTTATCGTAGACAATTTTAAAATAACTGTTACTTTTGGCCCCTACTTCCTTTTTTAAATAATTTTAACAGGTTGGGATTATGTCATTATGTCAAAACATAAATATAAAAATAGTGAACATATTTGAATATATTTGAATAATATAATATATATAGTGAATATATTTTTATATTTACATAAAAATAATTTATATGAAAATAAATATAAGATAGTGAACAGATTAAAAGAAACTGAGAACGTTAATGACGTAATCTGAACCTATTAATATTATTTAAAAGAGAGAGCAGGAACCAAAAGCGGATTTTATGCATTTATAGCAAAAAAAATATATCATAAATGCATAAAATCCACAGTCTAGTAATTACAAACAAGTTTGATTTCTATATATCACATACTGATACGAGGGCACTAGCCGAAAAAAATAATTTTGTCTGTTCTGCACCAAGTACAGTTGTATCACTCATGCAAAGCTCGGCGTTCCAGCCTGGCGGGGCATGAGTTACGAGATTCGGTCGATTCGACAGCGTCTGCGGAACGAACGGGCTGCGATCGTCGCGAAAGAACACGAAGGATTACACGCGTCGCAGACTCGCGGCGCGAAATGCTCGATACCCGCGTTACAAGTCGAAGAATGCGCAGCTTCTCCGCGTGTGCTTCCACATACTCTGGTCTCCGCGGTAATCCTGAGTTATGACGGATTATATCATCAATTTAGCCGATCAGGATCAGGTGCAGCGAGTGTACCATCGGCAGCCAGGATATATCCCCGCACCTATATGGAACGGTGCTCCCTTCGCTCTTCGTCCGTCCCTCTATCGCGCGAGTACGATGTCCCATAACACAACCATAACGCGAAACAACTTAACGCTGGTACCGCCAGAATTTCCGCCGATCTCGCCCTCTACCCCCTTTGGCCAGCTTCATCCCTCTTTTATTCTGCCGGCCGAGAAATACCTTGCAGCTTTTTTGACACACGAGATCCCCGTCGCGAATTGGAAAAATATCGCACGGCGATCTAACTGCCCGCAGTGATTATCTGCGGGCCAGGACGAGGGAAACACGTTCCGTCGCCGATAATGGAATTGACCGATGCGTGCGACGTTACGAGTCGTATTACGGGTTAATAACGCCGACGCGTTTCCATTCGAAAATCTACTGTTTCCGTTTGGATCGACGGATGATGGGCGAAGGACACCGTTTGTCATGGAATTTTAACATCGGGGATCTTGATCAAGATTTTTAGCCAGTATTTATTTTTAGTACAGTGTTACAGTAATTAAAGCACGCATTTTTTTAGAAAATTGTTTAAGACAAGATATATTTACATTCGTACAAATACGAAAGGATAGAATCAACTCCATTTAGTTGTAACAGCTCCACTGTTTTAATTACTTATCGAACTTGTGCGATAGAATTTTAAGAATACAGAAAGCCAAATAGGTAACGTAAGTAACGGAATTTCTGATCTGGATATTTTATCAGATTAACCCAGTTTCCGTGCTCGACTTCAACAATTCTTTCCGAATCTGACGGAGGAATATTGATTGCGCGTAGCCAGGCAAATACAAATGAAAAGAATTTAAAAAGCTATTCTACTTCAATTCGGTGATTTCTGAAATGAATATGTAACGTGAGAGATTTAAAGGATCAAAGGATCGCATTACCATTTTATCGCGTATTACTTCTAAAATCGGACTTTACGAACGTCGTATAGAAATTGTGAATTTCCTGTGGTCATTGAATGTGCGAATTACTGTAAAACTATAACGGATAATTGAACGTGCTGTAACAAAAGAGGCCTCTCTGCAAGAAGTAATAAGTAATCGTGAGAATAAGAGAATAATCACGCCGATTCGCATGTATAACGTATATATATAATTCGTGCAGGTTAATAAAGAAGTTTTGTGAATTCATTAAAATTCTTTCGGAGTTATTCGATGTGAAATATGTCAGTAATTTAAGTAACAGTGTTTTAGGCTTTGAGCAGGCTCTTTTTTGCCTGCGGAACGTCGATACGCATTGCAGGGTGTAGGCCGCGGAGCGCAGAGGGTGCAACGAAGAGGTCGAAGGAGGAATGATATGCCCGTCGTACGTTTCCCTGCAGATATCTCGGGGGATTGGGCTGCGGCACCGGTGCAACCGGTGAAAATATAAATCCGCTAAAATATCGAGAGATTAGCGTTCGGACACGTCGCCCGATAGCCGTTGGAGGCTCAGGCCCAAAGCCGACTCTCGCTCCTCTCCCTCTCGCCGCTCCTCGCCTCTCGTTTCGCTCTCTGTTCTTCCGCGCGCGTTGCAGTCGCAAAGCCGGCCACCGGAATCTGGGAACGGGAACGGGAACGGGCACGGGGGTGGGAGGGGGAACGGGCACGGGAGGTGAGAGAAAAAGAGGCGGGTCGCCGCCATTTTTTCTCGTAACAATAATTTGTTGTTATCAAATAACGGTGGCGCAGGGGTGACTCGATGCCCGGCCCCGGCTTTGCGAACGCGACAATAAATGCTGGCGAAATAAAATTTTACTGCCGAATAATATCCGCGCGGGAGTTTGTTGCTATTGAATTCCGCGGCCATTCCGTAACGATCCCGGCAAAACTGCGGCCCCGTGCCTCGCTCGTGTTTCGGGGCCGCGAATCCCCTCGTTGATTCTCTCAGGAAGAATCGCGATATGATTTTTCTTACCGCTCGAGCTGCTGTTTATTTTATTACATTATTACTGCACCGCGATTCCATTGAAACGTTCCTGTTATACGAATGTTACCCAGCAGTCTCCTGTAAATGGAGTTCTACCGTGTCCCACTAAATTCTAAAATCCCACTCTAATTTCACCAATATCGCCTGACTACGCCGAAGTGAACGTTCTTTGTTGCATTACAATTCGGACAACCTGAACCGTAGTTAACCCATCGAGGACAATGTTCAACTATCGACTTCATTCTATGTTGTACAATGTTGCAAATGTTAACATAGCCTGATGGTAATTTGGACATTTTGTCTCTAATAATCCAAATCTGTGTAATCAATTTTGAATATCTGTCAGCGTCAGTGCAGCGTACCGATATCGTTCGGAAAGGGTTAACCCTTTGCACTCGAAACTATTTCAGCCGTAAATCTAAAATAATTTTTCCGACTCACACACACATAGTATTTCCATTTTATATGACAAAGTGCATTTTACGCATATGAAATTGAGTCTTGTGGTGACTCGTACAACAGTTACACTTTTAACAATATCTTAAATGTAAACTTTGTTAATATAAAAATTATCTTGGAATATGCTATAACAATTTTTCAGTGATGCCTCAGGGTCATCACTCGAGTGCAAAGGGTTAATTATATTCAACGGTTTTCTAAAATCCAGGGCGAGGGAATGATAATTCGCGGTCTCCTCGCGAGGAATTACCTAGTTACCCGTTACACCCCGATCGCGGTGACGTTCTCTATTCCACGGTGCGTCTTCTAAAGGGTTGGACTCAGAAGAGGGAATGCAGACGTTGCGACGAGCAGAAATTTAAATGGGTCTCCGCGCGCAATCAGTTTCTAATTACGAGACTATAGCCGTGCCAGGATCCCGGGGGTGAGGGGTGCGTTCCGTAGAAGATCGCGGCCAAGACGTTGCGAGGGTTTCGAACGCACAATCGAGTCCCCGTTGTAAGAGCCGTTTACCCCGACACCGTCTCGCGGCGAACACAGACTTGTCCCCGACGCTACCGCAGAGAATAATGTTAATGAAATACAGATAT